GAAGCTAATCTACTGGTACGTCTCGGCCACACTCTAAATAAGTCATTGTTTGATTAAAAATAAGAAAATTTATTGTAAAAAAATTAATGAATGATTGTTTAGTTAAAATAAAAAGTATTTTGATAAAAGTCACTGGTTAAATGTACCAAAAAAAAATATATGAAAAATATTATTTTGAATGTATGGTCAAATTGGTCCCAGATTAGTCAACTCAGAAAACAGAAACAGAAAACTCACCCTATAAAGTTAGAATTTCTGCTTTCTGACTAAAGTTAATAATTGGCGCCAATTCTAAACAGGAAGGAAAGTAGACACAGAAACTAAATGAAAAGTGCAATAAATTTAGAAAGTAAGTGTTTAGGTATACCATATTTATCCTAATAAACGCCCCAGGGGCGCTGCAGACCCCAAGGGGGAGGGGGCGTCTACTAGAGCACACTATAAGAATACACATTCAAACATGGTGACCGACTTTTAGAGTGCTCAGGTTCAAGGAACACAGAGTGAAACATTGTATGTAGTTTTGACACGCCCCATCACTCAATACATTTGTGATTCATTCATCAATTTGCACATGGTTACATGTGATTCTGACCTCCAGATAAATAATAAATGTTTCATTCAAACTCAAAGTTATCACTTACGCTGAAATTAATGAAAAACATGCGGCTGCGAAATATTTCAAAGTTGACAGAAAAAGAGTGAGCGAATGGTGTCAGAATAAGGAAAAACTGCTGGAACTTAAAAAAATCATCAAAACAATGTGCAGGTGGGGGACGAAATGTTCGATATCCAGAAATCGAAAACAATCTGATGACATGGCTACACAATAGACGAAATACAGGTGTTCGAGTAACAGGAAAGTCTTTAAGGAACGAGGCATTACGTTTACACAAAATAAATGGAAATCAATTGTCAATATGGACAAAACTACAGTATGGTTTGAAATGCCAGGAAAGTCAACCCTGGCACCTACTGGCAATAAGGAAATCTGCATTGCACCACTGGTACATTTGCCCGTTGTAAGCCCGCCTCCAAAACATGAAGTTCGGAGCGGGATAGTCGTTTATATGTGTGGAACTGGCAATAAATCATGGGCAAACAAAGACAGTATAAAATTTTGGTTGCAGAAAATTTGGGAAGTAAATAATCAACACAGAAGGATGCTGGTATGGGACTCATTCCGCGGACAATTAACCCTGGTCGTAAAAGATCTAGAGCGCAACAAATACAACAGTGATCTATGCGTAATACTTGGTGGTTGCACTTGTATACGGACGTTTCATGGAACGCGGACGTTTCATGGAACAGACCTTTTAAACTCAAACTCTGTGAATTATACGATGAATGGTTGTTCAGTGGTAATGTTGAACTTCCTAAAGCCAGGAACAGAAAAGCTCAATGGAAAATCCAAATGCTATGATGGATAAAACAAGTATGGGATACGATCACCCCTGACATTGTTCGCAAGTCTTTCAAAAAGTGTGGCATAACCAATGCAATTGATGGCAGCGATGATGACCTCTTCATCTGACAATGAATCTGAGGAGTTCGAGGGGTTTGATCCCGACAGCGCCAGAGAAAGTGAGATGATTTTTGAAAACCTTATTAACACTCATGTGGAAGACTTCAAACTTTCTAGCTAGAGTGACAGTTCATGTGAAAGTGAAACTGAAAGTGATTACGACAACCCCGGACATTAACTGACTTGCTCACCATCGTTTTGATGTGTACATATAATTGTCTTTATTGATGTGCTAAACACTTTTCTATATAATGTTTCCTGTGAAAATAACTGGATTAAATAGTGTATTGGATTTAATACTTTTGTACATTTGGTCACACACGATCATGATAACTCACTTCTCAAGTACCGGTAACTGTTAAGTACTATTTCTACAGAAAAGGAGGGGGGCGCGTTTATTAGAGAGGGGGCATTATTTAGGATAAATACAGTATATATACCTAGATGCTGTCAACGTTATGATGTCATGATACAACTATGCACAATAGAAGGAAAGTCATCTTCAATATGATGACTTTGACTTGGACAAATGAGTTTAGGTTTATTAGATATAATATAATGTATAATATTTAGCAAAATATAATCTGCTAGGAAAAAATATTCTCTGAACTTTTAATTTGTAAGTGTATATACAGCAATATGTTGCAGTACATGTGTTGCTGTACAATTACTCTATATGTACCAACATCAGCTATATCTGTCTGACAGCTGAAAATACATGAAAGAAGATTTTAATAATTCTTTGAAATTGGCCACACATGTGTATTGCAGTTATTAGTAACAACTGGTCATGGCATGTTCTTTATTAGTGAGTGGATTTTTTTGTTACAAAATGTATGTTAGAAATACATATTTGTTTGTTTGCACTTATTTTATCTAAGTGTTTTTACAATTGCTTTTGACTCAAAATCGAAACCTCTTTATAATTTGAGTGGTTTTTAAAACATGCTTTATAAGCTATTTGTGAGTAACATCTGTGATATAAATAAGCTTGAACTTTGGAGAAATGTCATGTTTTGCATATATATGTTTATAGCTTGGTTTTCTCACTATCAGACTATCAGCTATCTAGATGCCACTATATAGTCATTAATAATCTGGATGTGACTGTCTAGCTACCAGTAATCTGACTTTCCAGATATCTAGTTAACAGTAAACTGGTTGTCCAGATATCTAGTTAACAGTAAACTGGTTGTCGCGATATCCAGTTATCAGTGAACTAGTTGTCCAGGTATCTACTTAACAGTAAACTGGTTGTCCAGATATCTAGTCCTCAGTTATCTGGCTTTCCAGATATTTAGTAATCAGTAAACTAGTTGTCCAGATATCTAGTTAACAGTAAACTGGTTGTCCAGATATCTAGTTAACAGTAAACTGGTTGTCGCGATATCCAGTTATCAGTGAACTAGTTGTCCAGATATCTACTTAACAGTAAACTGATTGTCCAGATATCTAGTCCTCAGTTATCTGGCTTTCCAGACATTTAGTAATCAGTAAACTAGTTGTCCAGATATCTAGTTAACAGTAAACTGGTTGTCCAGATATCTAGTTATCAGTAAACTGGTTGTCGCGATATCTAGTTATCAGTAAACTGGCTTTCCAGATATCTAGTTATCAGTAAACTAGTTGTCCAGATATCTAGTTAACAGTAAACTGGCTTTCCAGATATCTAGTTATCAGTAAACTAGTTGTCCAGATATCTAGTTAACAGTAAACTGGTTGTCCAGATATCTAGTTAACAGTAAACTGGTTGTCCAGATATCTAGTCGTCAATAATCTACTGTATCCACTGTACATATGGTTTTGTTACTGTCTTTTGATCCACCAAAAAATCTGGTTGTGTTACTTTCGAGCTATTAGTAATTTGGATGTGCCACTATCTAGCCATCAGTAATCTGGATGTGCCACCATCTAGCCATCATTAATCTGGATGTGCCACTATCTAGCTATCATTAATCTGGATGTGCCACTATCTAGCCATCAATAATCTGGATGTGCCACTATCTAGCCATCATTAATCTGGATGTGCCACTATCTAGCCATCATTAATCTGGATGTGCCACTATCTAGCCATCAGTAATTTGGATGTGCCACTATCTAGCCATCATTAATCTGGATGTGCCTCTATTAACCATCAGAAAATTGGATGTGCCACTATCTAGCCATCATTAATCTGGATGTGCCACTATCTAGCCATCATTAATCTCAATGTGCCACTATCTAGTCATCAGTAATCTGGATGTGCCACTATCTAGCCATCATTAATCTGGATGTGCCACTATCTACTCATCAGTAATCTGGATGTGCCACTATCTAGCCATAAGTAATCTGGATGTGCCTCTATCTAGCCATTTAGATGCCTTTTAGTCATCACATCATTCAACATGTTTTAGATGCTTGGGAATTAATGTTTTCTAGAATGTAAGTATATGACTCTACAGTGCTACAGTAATCTGTATGAAGCTCTTAAGAAAGATTTGCCTTGTTATTACGACAGAACAGAGTTACTCCTATTGCCATCTCTGTGATGTATTATTACTCTTCGGATGATGTAACACTGGAGAAGTACAGTAAACCTGCAGTTAATCAGTACAAAATTAAATAAATATTGTTGAACCTGTTCGAATAATGTGAAATGATGCTTGTGAAAATAAGTTTGAGTTGGAACTATAGCTTATAGCTTATAATGCTCGAAATTACAACAAAGAGTTCATTCAAAAGCATCTTTAATTTGCAGTAATGGCATTTCCTGAAAAACAAATATGTCAATTATGGTATGATTATTTTTTTCAACACTTAGTGTACTGCAATACATGTTGGGCAACTTGACTGTTAAGGATTTTTTTTTTTTGTTCTTCGTCACCTTAACTATCATGACACACAAACTGTGTTAAATACTTGTGCAATGGCGGACATTAATAATGACATTTCTTTTTGTGGTGTATGGATTGAGACTTAATATGGATCAATATTTGTTAAAATGTCTCTAGCTGTTATAATTATTGAGATAGTCTTGATGCAATTATCTTAACGAATTGTTAAGTAAAACAATGTTTCTCTTCGACAATTCACAAGCCAAATCCTGTGGTCTGTTTATACTGATCTCTTGTAATATGTATACAGAGTTGGGACCTCAAGGTATGAGCACAATGTTATGGCAAGACGTGAAAGAAATGCTAATTAAGTGATGCGTAATTTGTCGTTACCAAGTGTTTACAATGGTCATTTACAGCGTGCTTCCTATGCTGTTTAACACTAATGTAATTAGTGACTACATTGAACAATTATCGTGACGCCAATATCTTTGTCAAAAGATGACACCCCGAAAATGTAGAAAAGTAGGTGTCAAGTAGAAAAAAAACTTACACTTGCTAGAGCAATCAGTCAAACATTGTAAAAATAGAAACTTGTACAACGTGTCCAAGATCTATATTCTAGGACAGTATAGTAATAATACTTTTTCTTATATATACAGGCTTCTATGGACCTGCCACCGGACAAAGCTAAAGTACTCAAGAACTACGATGATGAAAAGAAATGGGACCTGATTTGTGACCAGGTATTTATAGTGAATTGTATGGTGTGTTTATTGTTGAGGTATTTTCATTGTATATATATAAATCCCTAACACGATGTACTAGACAAGAAAAGTCATAACACATTAGCCTATATAGATGCTCTCTTAAATGAACACCCTTACATTGGGACCAAGTAATTTTGCATAAAAAGAGAACTCTAGATCACATTTTTGCCTTTGAAGGACTGGAAATGAAGAAAGAAACTCTTTTGAAATTTCTCATTTAAAATTTTCCAGTTTTATAGTCATTAATCATAAACAATCTTGTGGCAAAAGTGCAAAACTTAAGATATGGGAGGAAAAACTCAATACGGTGGAACTGCCCCAAACTGATCCATTCCCAGACCAATCACCAATAAAATGAAAGGAAATGGTGATGTACCTTATGATGTCCTCTATATTGTTGTTATAAAAACATTACCAATACCGATCTCTCTTCATTCCGAAAAACCAAACCAATTATGTGTCCAAAATGATTAATATATACTGAACATCACTTCTGAAAACTGGCCTGAACAATCAAGACCTGAGTTCTGACCAGCAGACTGAAATTAACACGTTTGGTAACAGTTATAAGCTTTGCCCCACAGAATGTACACCTGCCATGGGTAGGCTTTGTATACAATACCTTCCCACATCAGGATGACTATAATAAACATAATATATACCAGATTTTATGGGTTAGAACACTGTTACATAAGCTGCAGAGCCAATTTTTATCCTTTTTTTTCTACTTGATCCAGGTATTAGCTGCACCCTTTCTTTCAATGTAGTAACCGTTATGTTGACCAGAGTTGATTGATTCTTATAGTCCAACATTATTTCTTGTAGTTTACACAAAGCCATTCATGTCTTAAGCAAGCATGGCGGTCATCCTAGAATTTGACCTACCACCCAATAGCCCATTGATTCTAGGGTGCAGTAGATTGTTGTAAACTTCTCCCTATGCCTTCTGTAGTTTCTGTGAAGTAGCCACAATAGTCGAGAAGATATTATCGTGATTTGTATTGAAGGTTTGATTAACTAAATCCATGAAACATTATTTCTATTGCAATCTTGCACGTGGTGGGAAGGTACTCATTAAAAAAGCAGTACTGTTGCGTACGGGTATGCTACAATTTTTTTTTCATTCTGCCAGGTTTTTTAAATTTTTTTTCATTCACATAATAGCTAAAAATTCTGCAGATTTTTTTTGTCCACGTATAAGCTGTACTGCTATATAAGTCTGACTTACGAGGAAAAGGCTTATAATCTGAAAGACGATAGTTATCTCCAATGATGTTATTTAATTGAAACGATATTGAAAGAGACCATCAGTTCAAGTAAGTAATGTTATTTCAACATGTACGAAATATAAATTGTTTTAAAAGGTAGTTTTTTATACTAATCAACCAACACCTTTTTATCATATATACGGTAGATAACGGTAGACAAGCCGACCATCCGACCGGGACTATGATGAGCCATGTTAAATGTTTCTTCTCGGATCACTGGGCAATGTGCAGATTTCTTTTTGACCAACTTCGACGTCGCATATAGCATACAAGTCTTACTTTACCTAAACATTTTTTCCATTGGTCAACTTGCTTTACTTTTATAAACCGAAACCTCCCTAAACCAGCCAAACATTCATGTCCCATCAATGATCAGTTTGGAGAAGTTCCAATGTAATACAATTACTTATGAGAAAATTTGGTGTTAATGTAATTGTGCTGATTGATGTTTTGTACGCTGTGCAGTGATGACATATATATATATATATATATAAATCTTATTTACAACAATAGCATACTGGTCCTAGGTCATAATCAGGTCAAAGACTTCAATAAGTTAATAACATGTGTCACAGGAACGAGTTCATGCAAAAGATCCGCCTCACGTATACCTGGACCGTCTGCGGACCTATCTGGACCCACGTGCCAGTCGTAGCTCACGGGTACGTATAAATACCTTATCATGATCAGTGGTCAGTCTTGACCGTTGTCCAGTTCTCATTTTATTTTCCTGTACTCACCCTTGACTTATGTGCTAATCCTTGTTATTTCATGTTTCTTAAGACATTGGTTTCAAATGTTTTGCCATTTTCCCTCAAATCTTTAATTTCAATATTTTGTTTTTTATTAATTTTGCTCTGCAGATTTGATTTACACCTAACGACTGCTATAACACATTAATATTTTAAATAATTTTACAATTTTCATGTAATTATCTTATTTGTTGGTAATGTAAGTCCAAAGTAAAAAGTTTTTACAAGATAAATGATAGATATGATTTTGATTAGAAAACTTCATGCTATCTTAGATACACAACTGGTCTTAATCAAACCTTTAAAGCAGTATACTATAAATATACCTGATAAGTCATTTTCTTCATTCAATATTTATATCACAAAAAAGGGAAAATTCCTTCAAACTTATATTTTCTCTTAAGTGGGATACTCTTAGATTTAGAAAAGTAAATTTTCAAGGGTTTCCAAAATATGATTCCTTTCTAAATTGACTACTGTATATAGGTAAACTTTCAACCCCGTTTGATTTAGCTGTTATTGTGAGGCTTGATGTAACCCCTTTAAACAATCCTCAGAGGGTGAAATTAATATGAGATGACAAAAATATGTGGGTATACAGTAGTCCTGAAAATCATTTTCTACCCATACAGTACATGGACTTTCCAGCTTAGGATTATCCATGAAAATTACTACCGGATCCTAGACTTAGTTTAATGACAGTTTTCAGGGAAAACAATTCAAAGTTACTGTCCTGAAAATAATTGGTTCTCAATATGGTCATATGTTTTATGTAAGATGATGTATTGTTTTGACAGGGCAATATTATTAGGACTTGTGTAATCTTTATGTACACACAGTTTTTGGTTGTTCATGTCTAAAAGTAATTAATGGGGTTTGCCCATGTGTTATTTATATACACTTGTGAAGTAAATTGAGTTAGGCTCTTTAAAGGGGTGTGGCACTAAAGTTTTTTTAATATAGGCCTTGCAGTAATTAATCATCATATGATAAGTTTTAAATGGAATCAAGTTTAATGTTAAAGGATTAAAGTTAATGAATGAAAATAATTGAAGTAATTCTGAATTATTAAATATTTTTCATTTATTAAGTTAACATATTTTTAATGACATTATCAATTGTGATTATTTATGGAAGTCCTAATCGTCATAATATGAAGGATGTGTTCACTTACCACATAAGTGCAGTGTACAGTTACCACTTAAATAAGTTGTTTTTTTGTCAAATATTTCACATTCATCTACATATATAACTATTAAAATGTTTTGTTACTTGTTCTTATTACAGAAAACACTCAAGGTTAATATTTTTTTTCTGTACTGGGTGACGGTTTAGTTGTTACCCAACACCATATTATTTTTGATAAACATATATATGGCTTAAGGAATACATATCTAGTGTACCGGTATATATCTGCTATGTAATATACAGTACTAAATGCTGCTATTTATTATAATGGTTATGGTTCTATATAAAATATAAATAAAAGCTTGCTGTAATCACTGTCTGCTGTAACTATGATATATTGATTCTGACATCTGTATTATAAATGGCTCTTATTTGAATTATTGGATACAGCTTGTTCTTGTTCTACATATAAAAAGGTTCAACCTTTCATTCTTTGTGTCTGCTGTAATATTCTTGGAGATCCTCTGCTGTAATACCGTTGTATATCCTCTTCAGCTGTAATATTACTGTGTATACTTGGGTCTTCTCTGCTGTAATACTGTTGTATATCCTCTTCAGCTGTAATATTACTGTGTATACTTGGGTCTTCTCTGCTGTAATACCGTTGTATATCCTCTTCAGCTGTAATATTACTGTGTATACTTGGGTCTTCTCTGCTGTAATACTGTTGTATATCCTCTTCAGCTGTAATATTACTGTGTATACTTGGGTCTTCTCTGCTGTAATACCGTTGTATATCCTCTTCAGCTGTAATATTACTGTGTATACTTGGGTCTTCTCTGCTGTAATACCGTTGTATATCCTCTTCAGCTGTAATATTGCTGTGTATACTTGGGTCTGCTGTAATATTGCTGTGTATACTTGGGTCAGCTGTAATATTGCTGTGTATACTTGGGTCTGCTGTGATATTGCTGTGTACTTGTTTCCCATCTACTGTAATATTACTGTATATGCTTGCATTTCCACAGCTGCTTCATCTGTTTTAATCTTGCCATATTTCATGAGGGATGTTTTCTCTTCTGTAATATTGCTCTATATTCTAAGGTCTCCCGCTGTATTACTCTATATCACTGAGCCTCAACTGTCTTTATATTTCTGCTATTAACAATGCAGTAAGTCCTTAAAAAAGTTCATCAAGATTTAATGAACGAACAAGGTCACCATTGATGATAATTGATGCTGAAGTTACAAAGTTCACAACATGGAGCTTCAATATGAAACAGATTATGGTCTACATCATCTGCTTTCCTTTTTCTCTTGTTTCACAGGAAATATTTTGCACGTTTGAATTTCCATGGTCCATTTTATGTCTTATTTGCAGATAAAAACTGGACAATTTGTTTCTGCTACTATTTCACTAATTTATAAAGTTTTATAAGTTAAGTTTTGATAGTAATCTGGAATGTGTATTTCCTAAAAGGACTTGAACAAGTAGACTGGAAAGTAAAAGTTAATCCCTATATACAATTAGCTCCTTGGTTGTTGTGTAGAGGTAATGAAGTGAGAATTCTGATGTAGATGTTGGATGGCATGTTTGGTGTGTGTGTATGTGTGTGTGTTTGTTCAGTATTGTCACTTGGTGTATGTGTGTATGTAAGCATGTGTGGAAGGTTAACACACATACACAGGTCACTCTGTATGATAAAGACTACACATGTTTCTAAGGCAACACATGTTTCTAAAACAATACATGTTACTAAGGCAACACATGTGGAAGGCTTAACACACACATACATCACCTATACATAAGAAAATCTACACATTACTAAAACACAATGTGTGTAAAGGCAGGTGAGAACATTCATTTTTATACATTTACTTAAAATTTTAAGTCAATCAAATTGTTATATGTACAGTAACTTTGTTTTGAGGCTGTACCTGTTGCTGAATTTATGTTGTTCTGAAAATGGAAATTTGAAAAAAAGGCCCTTCAGATTTGCAGACCTACACATGATTGTTAACTGCTCAATAAATGCTTTAGACATTGATAGACCTCATTGATTCAGTATCATATATTTTTGTGAAAAGGTAAAAATTACAATAAATCCATGTGAATATTTAAAATAATTTCAGTCTCTGATGATTGTCATGGCACAAGATATATTCTGTAAGTCTGGATTTTTTCCATGTTGAAAAAATTTGAAATTCAAGGTTTGTAAGAGACTTGATCTCTGTGCTAATATACAATTACATAATGAAGTTAGTACCTATGATATTGAAGCTAGTAACAGCTCATGACCAGCTAACAGCTACACTGAAGTCACCTGATAAACGCTGGTTTTGTACTCATTCTCTAAGTGGATATAAATGTAAAGTCTTGTTTTCCCCCTTGTTTTTATCTTTCTTTGTTCCATTACATTTCCCTGTGTTTTTTTAAAACATTTCTCTTGTAAGGTTACCAGCTTTATTTAAGTTATTTTAGAACCAGGTTCATACCTCAGCCAAAAATAGCCCACTCATTAAGCATATGTTTTTATGCTAACAAGGAGAACAGTGTTTGGGTAGTTTTCAGTTCTGGATTGGCCATCTTTTGACATGTACTTTAAATTTGATATCAAGTTTATTAAAAATGGGTTCCTGCTGATCTTAGGCAACACTTTGCTGTTAAAATTTTAACGCATGAAAGTAATTATGCTGTTATCACTTGAGAGCTCTAAATTTTCCATGTACACCAGCAAGAGAAATTCAGAGGAAAATTGACAGAGTTTGATTTCAAGAAAGGCTGAACATAACCTTGGCACATGATTAAAATTTATGATAAAGGAAAAAAAGATATGGTAAAGCCATTGTTCATACAAAAATCATCAGTTAAGTGTAAAGTTACTCACAGCTATTCATTTTGACTAATCTTTGAGGCAAAGGTAAAACCTAGAAACCCCTTATCTCTAAGTATTAAAGACTAAATAATGGAAAACCATTGACCAACCAGCCATGAGAAAAAGAGTTGTGTAATAAAATTTCATTAGAGTGCTGAGTGGAACTATGTTTCATTTGATTTTTTTTTTCTTTTTCTTTTACATAGAGCAACCAATAAAGCCTTAAAAAAGGTGCCAAGATATTTTTGAAACTGGTTGGAGCTAATGGCCATCTTTTAGTTGAAACAATATATAGTATATGTTTGTATAAATATGACGCCTGGGCATGAATATGCTACCAATGCAGTATATATACATTTCTATACATTAACATTTTTTTTTTATTATATACATGTAAATCAAAATCCAGTTGAACTAATTAATGTTATCCATACAGACAAATTAATTTTTCCTTGTTGAATGTATTAGACATGACAATGGCTGGATGACATTGATCATGTGACTGTTTGCCATTTCAGCACGGAGCGGCCTGTGTTTTCTTACCTGTGGTTGTCCTTCCTCTACAGTGTGGTATAATAGATAGTGTAGGTGTAAGGAACCACGCTTGTCACATGATCATCATGTGCAGACTGTTTCCATACAATTTGTTGTTATGCCACTAGCTTGGTCGTTGTTTTCGTTTCAGTTGCAAAATATTTAATAATGCTAGATTTTGCTGTTTTAGATTTCATTTTCCGACCCGATTTTATTTTCTGCATTTCCCCGTTTTTGATGTTGTACATATATTGCCATGTAATGATTACATTTAGTTATAAAGCCCCACCCCCTGTATGCATGTTTAATGAACGTGTAGGGACAGCGTATGATGTCCAACTTGGTGATTTTATTAGTACAGGTATTTACAATTAACTCCATTGTTTGTATTGTATATTTTTGTAAAGTTTTGGGGCTGTATTTGGCAAATTACCTTGCATAGATTTACTATGTTTATAAGCCAATGTCTGATAAGTAGCCAAGGTGAAGGACCCACAAAGATACATATATAAAGTATTATATATAGATATATAACATATATGAAAATATGTATAAAAGACCCACATATTTGTGTTCTGTAGAATTGAAAAAAATACGTAATTGTCCTGTAAAACACCCCTGGCATTTAGAAATTAGTTAAATATTGGCCCATGATTTATTGCAAAAGAAATATAACACTGTGGAATTGTCCTGTAAAACACCCCTGGCATTTAGAAATTAGTTAAATATTGGCCCATGATTTATTGCAAAAGAAATATAACACTGTGGAATCACAAATCAATATGAAGAAAATGTATATGTCATTTACAATGTTGGATCAACCATATTCAAGGTTACAGAGGTCAAATGTGTTGAAACCTTTAAACGACTTCTTCCAAAATACCGGAAGGCCTTGAATCATTATATATGGCTGGAAGGTTCCTTTGATGAAGCCCAACAAAGTTTGCAAAAAGAAATGACATTGACCCATAGTCAAGGTCACAGTAGTCAAATGTGTTAAATGTGGAATATATGCACAGATATAGTACTGTTGGTCATTAAGATCCAGGTGAGCGATACAAATACTCTGGGCCTCTTGTTACAATCTGCAATGTATGATGAGGAATGAGGATTAGGAACTGTGGTGTAAAATTCTACAGATGTATGGTGTTTATTTCTAAGGATCTATGGTATATAACTCTAAGGATCTATGGTATATAACTCTAAGGATCTATGGTATATAACTCTAAGGATCTATGGTATATAACTCTAAGGATCTATGGTATATAACTCTAAGGATCTATGGTATATAACTCTAAGGATCTATTGTGTATAACTCTAAGGATCTATGGTATATAACTCTAAGGATCTATGGTATATAACTCTAAGGATCTATGGTATATAACTCTAAGGATCTATGTTGTACATAACTCTAAGGATCTATGGTATATAACTCTAAGGATCTATGGTATATAATAAGGATCTATGGTGTATAACTCTAAGGATCTATGGTATAACTCTAAGGATCTATGGTATATAATGGTATATAACATAACTCTAAGGAAGTATATAATCTATGTATGTACATAACTCTAAGGATCTATGGTGTATAATAACTATGGTATATCTAAGGATCTATGGTATATAACTCTAAGGATCTATGGTATATAACTCTAAGGATCTATGGTATATAACTCTAAGGATCTATGTTGTACATAACTCTAAGGATCTATGGTGTATAACTCTAAGGATCTATGGTATATAACTCTAAGGATCTATGGT